TATGGGCAGTATCGTTTATATGTTCAGATTGTCCGCTGTTTGCCGTATATTTCCTTTCTGTCCTGTCTTATCTGTTTTCTATCTGTCTACTTCAGCCTTTCGGTATGCCACTACTTATTAAAATGTAACCAACTCATATTCGTTTTAACACGCACAGTATTTTCGACAAGAGTCATGAATACAACAGCAGACTTGTCGTCTTTGTTTTCAATTCTATCAGTCTATATACACTCTTCATTCTTCTTCTTCTTCTTCTACTTCTTCTTCTTCTTTTTCTTTTTCAGCATTTACCTATCGCAAATAATCTGGCATTTGTTGTTCTTTTCTTTTTTAGACGTATCATATTGCAATCACGAATTATCCCTAATAACTAGTATTATTATTAGGGACATTTTTTGAGTCTCAAGTAGTGAAACACGATCGAGAACTAAATGCCAATAAACAACGTTAAATATGAAATTGAAGAAAATTGCAAAGTGATACGTTTCAATGATATAGTCGCTCGTTAAAGCAGGCAGCTTAAACCGAGAAAAATAATGCAGAATTAACCCTACTGAGCAACCGGATCGGGGACTATTGGTACATTAGCCAGGGTAAGACCAGAATTCCTGGAGTCAACGACGCCGCGGACATGGAGGAGACGGACGTAAGTCCAATCCCAGGGTGCGTTAGAAATCTCGGTCAACTTTCAACTATCTTTGCAATTATGTGCAGTAGAAATCGACCTTTTAAAATTATGCAATGAAACTCTGCTCCTGTCGTAGAACCACAGGATCTAGCTTAATAGCATTCTCTTGAATGGAAAAGATCATCATGGAGTGTAAGGTAGCGGAAAGGATGGACCGGGGTTTTTGTCACCCCCTCGCGCCCCGCCTGCGAAAGCTTCCTGCCGCCGCAATCGGGATGCGGGGGGATTGGGGGAAGAAACGAATATTTTAATTGGGAAAAATTTGACTCGAGGAAATTATTAAACCCCCAGTGTACCCGCTCCCCGATCAGCTCTGACTCGCCACTTTTTTTGCACCAGTATTATGCCACGCATCTGCTACAGCTGGAGAAAATATTAACTGGTCATGACATAAATATTCATTCTTGTCGTTCGATGTTTACCGACAGTGATTATTTCGAAAACCAACGAAGTTTCAAATAACCATTAGACTACTTTTCTCGAAGGAGGGCGACTTCTTAGGTCAAGGAACGAAAAAATCGATGGAATGAACCAATGAAAACATCATAAGTGATTTGGGATTTACGTGCAGCAAATAATTTTAGCCCCAAATCGTGTCGCTCAACTATAATTTATATTCTTCGAAATGCTTCACAGCCATGTGTCTCTTGTCCAACAACATATACGACTATGGGAACGTGTCTCAAGGAAAAATCACGATCCCCAACGTCGACGACGGCGAGGAATGTCTACTGACGGACGTAAGCCCTTAAAACAAGAAAAAGAAAATTAATTCGTAGTCCCACTTGTTCCAGACTCTATATTATCGCACCTCACCTTTACCTTCTTCCGTGTACATACGTTGTTATGAAAGTAGATATCTATATTATCCTTTGTAGACTGTAAAACAATCGACTTTGATGTCGTTTTTAGCCATTTCCTTCTTGTAGTGCGGGGAGAAATGAAAAATAGTAACGAATTTAATTTTATCCAGGTAGCAATTTAAAAAATATTTGCTATTGCCATTTGAAGAAATTCATTAACACTATTATTTTATGTTACCTTGAAGTATTATTTAATTTCTATGATTACGAGGAAAATGTTAAAAAAATACATTTAAAAATTACAAAGTATTTACAAAGTTTATATAATTTTTGGAGTATGGATTCTGAAACATTATATGTCTGGTCAGACCATTGGTCATAAGCTGTGCTGCGAATGGTCAGTTTCGGTTAAGAACAAACGTACGAGCGAATCATAAAATTTTTCGTTACTATTTCTCCGTTGAAACTCCATGTACATAGAAATTGAAATTCCAATAATTCAGTTGTCGTTTCATTGTTTTCCACAGTTATTTAGGCCATTTCAGTTTGTAACCTGAAATTACATAGAAAGTATGATTAGTACCAATCGTCTGACACTCCCAGATATCGATACTTTCCTATCCACAGTTCGATTATCTTATGTCTATAATATATCCTATAGTTGTCGAAACATTCTATAATTTACTTAACAAAATTTCATTCTACATGGAACCTTTCTGAAAAGGTGTCAGTCGTGAGGTAAACGAATCCTAGAGAAGATCACGAAATATTTTTCCAAGAAAAACTTTTGTGGTGCGAGTTGACCTTCCAATCCTGGTAGAATTGGTAAATTCTTATTGATTCGCTTGAAAAAAAGAGACAGCCTCAAGATGGAAATTCTTGACGCTTGGTCGAACGTCGGCCTCGTACTTCAGAGAAGCGGTTTCTTGCTTCAACCTTGAAAACACGTGAATTTGAGGTGGATGGTAGTGTCGTACCTGAAGAAAGCGAGGGCTCTTTGGGGACCCTCTCTAAATGGCGTAACATAAGAACGATTTAAAATTTGTACTTTTACATCAACGAAGGAGGCCAATCGCATTGTATGTAGAAGCGATTGAACCTGAAAGAAGCATCGATCCTCCTTTGTCGTCTGTATAAAGTTTACTGTCTTATATCTATTTCCTCATTTATATTAGTTTTATAGAACTTTCGATTTTGGCGCCCCGTATACGAATACAAATTTAGGTAGTTTAGTTACTTAATACGAGCATAGCTTCCGCTTCTTAGCTTTTTCTAAAAATACGCTTCTTCCTTACGGCTCTTTCGGCAAATTGTCATCAGCTTGGCAATTAAAATATGGCTTAAAGCATGAAATTTTAAAGAATAAAGAGGGACACCCGCCATGGATTAGGGTACATATTTTAGACGAGTGTAACATCTCGAAGTTCCCTATAACTTTAATTTTTTGTGCTTTTCATTGGCTGTTCTGTTTGGTAGTTCGTGTAGAAAAAAAAACATCAAAGAACAAGCTCGCTTTCAGGCTTAAATTTCATTGCTATTTGTGCCGTTTTTGTGTGCTTTCCCTCATAACAATTCAGTATTTTGTCCAATAATAAATTTCGAACGTATCAGAAGTGCTTTCATAAATTCATAGTATTGTACTCTGAAACGCTTTGTTTCTGAGTGATAGATATGTATAATTCTCTCTTTTTCAAGTAATAATTTATGTGGAAACAAAACGTTAACTTTTATATAAAAATCTCTTCTGCTTACTGACTGCTTCATTTTCAAAAAAATTAGAAAACTTTTTCTGACCCTACAATTCCTGATAACAGCAAGCTTTCGATGTGCTGGGCTTCACCCAAGAAGAGAAGAACGACATCTACAAAATCACCGCTGCTGTCATGCACATGGGTGGTATGAAATTCAAACAAAGGGGTCGTGAAGAACAGGCTGAAGCTGATGGCACAGAGGTACTTAGCATTTTCTACATTATATCTGTAAAAATATTCCGATTTCTACTGATTGGCTAGTCAAGATTATTCTAGTACTACAGTAAATCATTGATGACGGTTATCACCACCACTGTGGGGAAGGTCCCCGTGGAAACAGTCAAGTGCCCAGTGGTGGGGATGACGTCTAAACATTCAGTGCCGAAGAGCCTTCGAACATTCAACGATGATTTACTGTACTTGAATTTAGCAGATACGATTTTATTCTTTCACATAATATAATTGAAAAGGTTATTACGAAAATTTTGTCTCATTTAAGTGGACAACATATAACGATAATAAACATTTCGAAAATACATCATTATGCATAGTGAACACACACACAGTCAACTTGAGAATTTTCAATGGCATCGTGTAATTTTTCTTTCCATTATACCGCAGAGGACATTAAGAGGAATTCAACCAGGACAAAATATGACACTCTTATTCAAATAATACTAAATTTACAGCAGTGGAGGTAGGTAGCAGAACGAAAAAGAGCAGGTCTTGCGTGCCGTCGGACTCTTTCCACTTCAACTGCTCTACATTCGATGCTGTGCGAATAAAAATGTCATATTTTGTATTGGTTGAAATCCTCTGAATTATTAGCATTTCGTCCTACTCGTTTACCATTTTTTTTGTTGATACACATAGGAAGCAGAATCTTTTTGTACATATTAAATTGAATTAATACTCAAATACTTAACAATTAAATAATTCTAATAAGCTTTTAAATATTCTTTTACAACTTCTACGAATTGTCACTGTAGGAGGGTGAACGAGTTGCTAAGTTGCTTGGTTGCGACTGTGCCGATCTCTACAAGAACTTGTTGAAACCGAGGATCAAGGTCGGTAACGAGTTTGTGACACAAGGTCGTAACAAGGATCAAGTAGCATACTCCGTGGGTGCCATGTCGAAAGCCATGTTTGATAGGCTGTTCAAATGGTTAGTGAAGAAATGTAATGAGACCTTGGACACCAAGCAGAAGAGACAGCACTTTATTGGTGTACTGGATATTGCCGGTTTCGAGATCTTCGACGTAAGTTTCCTCTAATAAACACACACTCGTATACACATGTCCCAATAATCACTGTTGGCGATTCCCTTAATTTAAATAGTTTTGTCGTCATGAAAATCAGTATTTTCTGTCGTCTATATCATACTATTAATATTTTGATTAAATTAAACTTCTATAAATGGAAGCACTGTAGATCAGATTACCTCGGATTCTAAGGATAAGGGAGTAAAACAAGATGTAGCTGACAATTACCTTAAATATTTAGAGACTACTTGAAATTATTGCTTTTATCTAAACCGTACACGTACATATACTTTTTCCAACGTGTTGAAAAAGTAGAGAACATATTGTACAGAATAAAAGATAGGTTTTTTATTTTTTTTTTCCCTGGCTTTTACTAAAAAGTTGTTATTAAATATTGTTGTTAAGAAATTATTTACGTAAGCAGAGTCAAAGTATGAAAATATTAAAAGATTATTAAATGCATTTTTCAAACGGTTATGTTAAAGAAATGTTTACCGGAACATAAATAAGGGATCGTCAACGTGATTAAAAGAATATAGGATCATCGCAAACACAAAAGCGTAACAACTTGTTTCACAGTACTTTTAGACACACATCATATTAACAACGGATGATTCGGAAGATATATTATTTGCCATCGGTTACGGCGGATTGAAAGAATAATTTGGTATCACATCTACTTGATTATATGTATAGATATAGGAGTTGTGTGTCACAAAAGTGTCCACGACAAAATTATTAACACGTTACAATTAATCTAGCTCTATACTCTTCACGATAATATGCAAGAATTCAACATTCATCATTTGTGATATACAGATTACTAATTGTTCTTCACAGAAATGAAACAAACTTGGTGTCAAGTACTCGGACATTCCCCCGTTATTACGTGTTCCTTAAATATGAATTAGTTCGGTCTGCACCAAATGAACATTCTACATTTCATTTCGTTCTTCAGTATAATGGTTTCGAACAACTTTGCATCAACTTCACCAACGAAAAACTGCAACAATTCTTCAACCATCACATGTTTGTACTCGAGCAAGAGGAATATAAGAAAGAGGGTATTGTTTGGCAGTTCATTGACTTCGGAATGGATCTCCTCGCGTGTATAGAGTTGATTGAGAAGGTAACCTTATGTACAGAAACGTGATGACAACTCTCAATTTGTTTAGTTTCCTCCTTGAACGATTCCTCCCTTATCTGGTTCTTCACTTCTTTATGTGCTCTCGTTGGGAGTCCCATTGGAAGATTTATTAGAAAACTATTCCTTAATTGTTACTTCATCTCATTAGGAGATTTATCCTATGTGTCTAGCATTTATCACTGTCACCCCATGTAGATAATACAAATTAGTTGCTGTTTTGAAGATTCAAAGATGAATTAAATTTGCTCTTAGATTATTTGTAGTGCCTTAAATTTATCTGGCAATAGATGTTCTGGTTTGAAATCCCTTTAGATGCATACCTCGTCTTCAAAACTGTGTGTATACATGTTTTTACCAAAGGTTTCGTAACGACAATGATTTCAATTATTCCTGAAAATTTGAATTCGTTCTAACCACTCTTCTTAATTTGAACGAATGTTTACCCTTGGAAAATCCATTATTCCGCACCATTATGAACATTGGAAGTTTTTGCATCGTATTACTAATTTAAATTTTGATATACATTCTAGGAAGTGCATGAATGTTCATCGTTCCAAATATTTTCGACCCTTTTTTGGTGTAGAATTTAACATGAAAAGTATATTGTCCTGTTTCGAGTATGTATGTATAATACGTTATCAAGCCCCTCGTATCATAGCATGATTTTGAGTCACAATACCTACAATTACTGGCATCTCTACAAGAAGAAAATCTGGTAAGCAATCATTGAATCGTCGTGACGTTGTTGTAAACCACTTTTCGCTCACTATTTCCGTCTTCTATTTTGGAAAATTATAAAAACAGTGGACTTCACGCTGACGCGTAGAGTAGTGTAGATTAAAACTCTTGGTACTTGATTGAATAACATTTTCAAAATATTCTGTATTTCCAACTGTCCATTAACGAACAGGACGGTACAGATGTACAATTTCTGTGAGGGCGGTTATCCAACCAGTAGTTTATCCGGCAAGTAGTTATTTGAAAGTACACTAATATCTTAGCAAATGAGTGTCCCCCAACGGTTTGGATGCGAATCTTACGAAAGAGGTAATACATACATATCTGAAACGTACGTGTAAAATAGGGCCGAAATAATTTTTCATCCCTGATTTACATGTATGTTTAACTAATTTTTCGTATTTATATTGTACTTGAAATGATTTGAGTACGATTACATAATGAATTCTGGGAAATTCATTATGCTTGCCTGAATGACTAAAATTTTCGAGTATTTAAATGAAAAATTATATTTGGTTATAATGAACCAAATATTTGAACATTTTCCAATACTGTATGTTATTACCTACAAAACAGCATCGTAGAACCTGCCGTTATATTTGCATATACTGTAAAGACGAATTATTACAAAACAAAATATTGTCTCTAGGACCAATGTCTTTTGAGTGAAGTAATCGTAGATGTTTGTAAAATATTACGTCAGATCAGTTGATCATGAAACATTCAACTCAGAAAAATTGATTAAAAATATTATTTGTACATTTTGGTAATCAGCTGAGAAAAAAATGTCATAAGACTGATCTGTACTACATATTATTACGTATTCGTAAATGAGTATGCATTGACAATTGCTGATTGACTTGCCATGACATTGACCAATGGTCCGCAGTATTAACGGACATCAATGACAAAAATACTGAGGTTATGGTAATCTATCGAGTATATTTGAGGAAAGTAGAAAGGTCATAAAAAAGCATGAACTGGCTGGGCCTGTAGCACAGTGACAATTGATGCAGTTTAAATACTATTGTTGCTCGAACAGTTTAACAGCTTCGAGCAGCTCTGCATCAACTTCACCAATGAGAAGCTTCAACAATTCTTCAACCACCATATGTTCGTCCTCGAACAAGAAGAGTATACGAAGGAGGGCATTCAGTGGGAGTTCATAGACTTTGGCATGGATCTCCTCGCGTGTATAGAGTTGATTGAGAAGGTATAAAAAAGACGAATGAATCGATCATGGCAACCGATCCATAGACGAATCCAGCCATACGGAAAAAAGCAGACAAAAATGCAGCATAAGGATCGGTGACAGGACCACCTGGATCCATAACAATTGCAAAATTAACGCTTATTACAACAAATTGCAGTAATGATCTCCACTGTTTTCATGGATTGGCCTAACCAATCGTGGATTGGTTTTTCTTCATTTCCGTGTGGTTTCACGTTTTAGCGAGAAGTAAACTCTTCCTTTTCTCGCGCAGGCAACAAAAGTTATTATTCATTTCATGTCATTTCATGTCATTTCATTTCACTTCACTTCACACCATCCAAGTCCTGTGACACTTTACTCGGGAAGTGAAATTTCCTTCTTACCTTTTTCAAAAGTTGGCCATCATATTGGCTACGAATATTCTTTCGTTTGATAACACTGTCCATCACATCAAACATGAATCCGGAACCAGAATTGTTCTATCACTCTCAGTTCTTGAGGAACATGAGTTTTTGTGAAAACGCACGATTTTCAACAAAAATGACGTACTTATTATGTGACAACTAAAAACGCTAGAAAGTTCAATATTGTCTTAAAAGATAGAGGAGAGCTTTCTGAATATGTATACTAATTTGTACAGTTGTTAAATTTTGTGGTACCGAATGCTTGTAAATAGCCATCAAATTTTAAAAACAAGCCGACGAGCATACTTTTCATGCACTAGTTATGCATTTGTATGGAATTTTCGTTGCCAACAACTAATTTGGTAGCTAGTATCGGATACTGCAGATATTTCTAAAGAAGAAACCATGCAGAAAAAGTGTCGGAACAGTTTTTAATTTGGTCAGGTTTTTAATGCACGAATACATATGACTTGTTGATGCGAAACCGTTAAGAAACAAGCACAATTTTTTATAAACTCAGAAGATTTTTATTATTATGCTTTTGGAAAATTTGGAAAATTTTCCCAAATATTGTAATATTTGAAATTCATTATACATACAATACTTGAAGGCAACGCGAAGTATATCTAATTATTATTTAGCCATCTTCTTTTAATAAATTCATTGTTTAATACTTCTGACAGTTCGAGATAGAAATGTAATATAACTTTCTGAGGTTCAGTGAGGATGGAAATGTAAAACTGAACCAGTCGGGAAACCGAGCAATGGCCACATGGCGGGAAAATATCGTGTACAAATTACCAACGGGGATTTTCTCGACCTGCCTAAATTAAAAACAATTCCGACAATTTCTTTGGATGGTTTCTTCTTCAGAAATGTCTATAGAATTCGATACTCTGTATGCAATTCGTGCTAGAGAAAGTATTTTCCGTAAAAATGCAAAAATAGTGCGTAGAAACTTAGAAAGTACGCATACGGGCTCTTCTTTAAACATTGATAGCCATTTACAAGCATTAAAAATCACAAAAATTTTATACGTTCATACACTGGCATTTTCAGGAAGCTCTCATTTATCTTTCAAGACTGCATTAAACTTTCTAGCACTTTTAGTTTTCACGTAATGTGCCATTCTTGCTCAACTTTGTGGATTTTTACAGGAACTCGTGTTTTCCGAATTAGTCTTTGGAACGAGAAACTCTACAAGAATGGTCCAATCGATATTACAGATCAAATTTCGTCAACAGAACAATGGCTTTGCTGATATATATAAACACAAGAATGAAATCTTTTAATAGATTCGAGAACAAAAATTGAATGTTGACACTTTTTATGCCAAGTACAGGTAATAGTTACGTACACAACTATCATCACTTACTGAAATTTTCAGAACGGAACAATTATTGACCTAGTTTCATAATCAAATTCCATTTGAATTTATACACGTATGTATGCATATCTTGGAAACTAATCGTATCTCAAGGTGGCATTCAGTCTTAGGTTGCTCATAGATTCATTGAATTTTTTATTAGGTCATACGAGGCTCTGGTTTAACCTCTACACTATTCTTTAATAATTTGCACTATTGGCACACGCACCCGCGTGCATTTACAATTAATCGAAGTTTTTAAATATAAAACATTGAGTCAATGTAGAACAAACTTCGTTTCCATTTCAGTTGTTTGTTTGCAATGTTATTTGCAAGAACAAGAAGAACAAAAGGTTGCACACAAAGTGTTGCAAGTTATTTTTTCGAGACCTGTCAGACATACAGATTAGTATTACAGATTAGTAGTACAGTGTACTGTACCCTTTGTATTTGCATACAAAGTCCTTCCTAAAACTTTGACACAGTACAATCCTACTGTTAAGATTGTGTTTCATAAAAATTCACGCGTTTCTGTGTCACCAACCGTTATCGGTAAAAAAAAATTGCTTTCGAAAGACAAATTTTGATAAACCCGCAAGAGGAATGCTTTATTATCGTAAATTTAAGATAAACAATCTAACATTCCTATAATATGGAATAATAGCATTTCGTGAATAGACAGTACAGATTGTAGATAGTTTATTTTTTACAAAGACTGAACTTTTTTGATTCTTGATACTTTCATAGAAACCTGTATTTCAATGATCTTTCCGACATTGACATATCTTCATAGTCTACAAACCCGTCACACACCCGAAATTATGTACATCTACCAATTACATCAGTGTTCATCTATTACAACTACAAAGGAATAAGACAACAACCATGTCACCGAAAACAATCGAGAAAATAATAGATTTTGCTATACTGATGGTTCTTTTGTTCCTTTGTTTTTCTGTTCTGTTTCTCCTTGTGCCTTTCTTCGTCCTACCTCATTCTTCATGCTGCGTCATGCACGACCCTGCGCGCGCGTTGTGCTGTAAACACGACAGTTCAATGGCTTTGAACAGCTCTGCATCAACTTCACCAACGAGAAATTACAACAATTCTTCAACCATCATATGTTCGTACTCGAACAAGAAGAGTACAAAAAGGAAGGCATCGATTGGGAATTCATTGACTTCGGCATGGACTTGGCCGCTTGTATTGAACTGATTGAGAAGGTATAATGTACACTTTCACAAAGATACAAAAAACAACGAACGATCAAGAAAACGATCAACGGCCTGATCAATGGATATGACTACTGGTGTTTGCCAAGAGCTTTGACCGAAAACGGAATCTGAAGTTCCCGAAGTGGTCGGTCGTCAGTCTTGCGGTGGTAGATTATTGACTCATTGTTTGTGTCTGCTTACCATCGACTGGACGTTTACCCCATCGTATCATAATTTTTTAAGCTATTGGTTGTTACTGTTATTACCGCCACAAGTATCAAAGACACCTGATACGTTTACCTCAGTGTTCTTTGTTTTTCATCACCCTGCTTTCCCTTGTTTTTTTTTTCGCTTCCCTTTGCACACCCCCACAACAACGGCACTAATGTCGTGCCTGTGATTCACTTTGCCTCTGAACTAATTCATCCAAAGCAATGAACAAAGTTCATTAAACACGGTTTACGTACGACTCTTGAAAATTAAGCCATTCAAATGTTTCAACAAATACGAACAAATGATAAAAGAGATAAAGAAAAATTGTTTTGTTAAAGTAAGATTTGGAGAAATGAATAGTTGATATTCACATTCGAACCGAACTTAAACATTGTAACTTAATATTTTATATATGTCTATATACACAGGGTGTCCCAAAATAGCTTCCACTCCCGGAAATGAGGGGTTCCTGGAGTGATTTGAAATAACTTGTTCCTTAGCAAAAATGTTATCCGAGACTTTGTTAACGAGATATTAACAAAAAACCCCGACCAATCAGAGCGCGAGTCTGCCGGTCGAGTTCCCGTGGTAGCGTTGACTACTTGCAACAGCTGAACAAAATGTTTAGTACATTTTTTATTGAAGTTACACCTCACATTCAAACATAAATATTAATCCTTTGAGGTCGTTATTTATCGTTTACCTCGAAGCAAGGTTTACTTAAACAAAGCTGAGTCAGTAAACGTTGATCATCTTTACAATTAATGCGTATTAAGTAAACCTATGTTCAAGAATGTCTCCCCCTCCCCCTGGTGTACATTTCCTAAGGTTTTTCGAATTCGAATCATAAATAAGATAAAAATTTCAATTACTTTCACGATTAGAGCGATGTATTAAGGGGTCATGCTCAGTCAGGAGGCCGAAAAAAGGGTGTCCTTTGGGAATTTTTTTCTCGAAAACTATAAGACCTTTTTCAAAAACTGTGTTTGTGTTCCAAAGATTGCAGTTTATAGATTATATGGTAATTTTTTTATTTAAAAATATTTATTAGTAAATAAATCGTGAGCGATATCCTGGATGTCTCTTCACAAAAAGTAGTCTGCCGTGATCACTGTAACTTCGTAACGGTTCATCTGAAATTAAAAATTCAGTAAGATTTATGTAATGGAAGAACCAATCTTGTCATTGAACGTGGAGTTTTTCGAAATATTGATTAGGAACAAAATAGCGGACGTTTTTCTGAAAAAGTGCGATTTTCACCTAAAAAATCACTCGTTTTTGGTCAATTAAAAAAAAAGTATGGAACAAACAAAAGAATCCTTCGTTCAAGGTCAAGTTTTTCTGATTTGAAATAAGGCGCAAAAGGCTTCATGTAAATCGACACAGTAGTATTCGAGAAATGTTGATCACCGATTTGAAAAATGTAGTTTCGAGAAAAACGCGTTCAAAGTTTCAAGTCAAGCTTACACTTATATAAAATGTTCATTTTTTAACGCCTGTTACTCTGTCATTTTTAATTGGATTACCTTGAAACTTGCACAGAATATTCTCGAGATGTTGTACTTAAAGAAAATGTAGAAAGAGAAAAATCGATTTTTTTTTAATTTCTGACCGAGCATGACCCCTTAATAAGAATGGACAGCGCACAAAAATATTGAAAAATGAATTATTCCTCAGGGCATGTAACGGCAAATTTTGTTCTGTCCTGCTTACATACTAGTCCCAAATACTATCACCCTACGAGAAAGTAAACCAAGACAATATGTCGTAGAACCCCAATCGTAATTTCCAAATCGTATCGGATATAAGCAGCATTAATGACGGCTGTGTTTCTCCTTTGTTTTCTGTTTCGTTGCTTTTCCCCTGCTTGGTCACGAGCAGTTCAACAGTTTTGAACAACTCTGCATCAACTTCACCAACGAAAAGCTTCAGCAATTCTTCAACCATCACATGTTCATTCTCGAACAAGAGGAATACAAACGCGAAGGAATCGAATGGACATTCATTGACTTTGGGATGGATCTTCAGCAGACAATCGATTTGATCGAGAAGGTACTGTTAATCCGTGGCATGAAAGACCAGGGATGAAAGAAAGGTCGACGGCTTCTGATATTGGATAGACTCATTGCGAAAGAGAAGACAGTTGCAGGGACTATACAGACGACGTTTCGATACTACAGCAGCAAGCGTTAGCATGCAAAATTTACTGCTTGTATCTTCCTATTGCTTCATTTCTGTTAATCTCACCTATTTCTCACCTCTTTCATATTATAACTGCGTAAACTTTGCGGGAACATCCTGATCAAAGTAAAATTCTTCTTATTTGCATCGCGTCTCTATTTGTACATATGCATGTTGCCAGTGCTTTATACAAACTTCATACTAAAAAATACGACCAGTTGCTTTAAACAAATAATAATTATAAACTAAAGAGTACCAAAAATTCTGTCACAAGTGAAATGATCGATTTGGTAGAAACGATAAGTATGATACATCAGCAGGTAATTGAGGAATCAATTAAGGACCAGCATAGGTAAAATTTAATTGAACATTTCATGCATGCGAGTTTCTCTTGTGTCGCGCCTACACGCATGCCTCTTTGTGAATGTGTTTTTGTAAACGAGTGGAATTAATCAACGGCCAGGAATTCTTGATCGATCAGTCGAACGAAATAAGAATGAAGTTTTTTCTAGAATATGCTGTTACTAACTAAAGACAAATAAATGTATCAGCAAACAAATTCGGGACAGATCTTTCAGTGAATTCCGGTCCCCTTATTTCCAAAACAAGAAATCTCTGTCGAAACTTCAGAAATTTGCTTTTGAAGTACTTTCCTACGTTGATCTTTAATTAGATCATAAGGGAAGTAAAACAACGTACTGATAAAAAAATGAACTGCAAATACAGTAACTTTCAAGGTTTATTTAACATTAAAGTATAAAATTGAGAGTAACGTCGATTTAATCGTGTAATTTCTTAAGTGTGTAATAATCACACAAGGTTGCAGTTCAGTATAGCTGTCTATCGGTCAAAAAAGTAATAGTGATCAATTCCATTATGAACTTGGTGTACTAATTGTTATTTTTCTTTTGTTAGACGATATTAGAGACGATTCTTTTATATCTTTGAGTGTCACGTTATGGCACAAAACTTTGCACTTGTAAAGAGAACGGTACTCTTAAGAAAAGAACACTGTTTCGTGAATAGGGCAGAACTTAACGCTCTCTTTCTTTTTCAAATATAGCCTATGGGAATCCTGTCAATTCTTGAAGAAGAATCTATGTTCCCGAAAGCCACTGACAAAACCTTCGAGGAGAAGTTGAACAACAACCATCTTGGCAAGAGTCCTAACTACTTGAAACCCAAGCCACCGAAACCAGGCCAGCAAGCAGCTCACTTTGCTATTGGCCATTATGCTGGAAACGTATGTTGTCTCTGCATTTACATGTAGAACTTTCAATTTCTGTGTCCTTTGACTGGTTGTAAAGTAGTGGAACTTATAATATCGTGTACATAAAACTGATATTTATCTAGTCACTTAGCTAAGATATTAAATCAGAATACGATTTTCAAACTATCACCATCTAAACCGGTTAAACGTTCATCATTCTTTCAAAGTACAGAATTTCTGTCAGAATTTTTTGTAAAGTAATCCTCTCCTTGACACAAAAACGATGCTAAACGAGTGTTTCATCAACAGGTACCATATAACATCACGGGCTGGTTAGAAAAGAATAAGGACCCATTGAACGACACGGTGGTCGACCAATTCAAAAAATCCACTAACAAACTGTTGATCGAGATCTTTGCGGACCATCCGGGACAGTCTGGTGATGCCGGTGGTGGCGGTGGTGGTGGCAAGGGCGGACGTGGCAAGAAGGGAGGTGGTTTCTCCACAGTATCATCCTCCTATAAGGAACAATTGAACAATTTGATGACTACACTGAGGGCAACTCAACCACATTTTGTTCGTTGTATTATTCCCAACGAATTGAAGCAGCCTGGTGTCATCGATTCTCACCTTGTTATGCACCAGCTCACATGTAACGGTGTACTTGAAGGCATCCGTATTTGTCGTAAAGGATTCCCTAACCGAATGATGTATCCTGATTTCAAGCTACGGTAAGGATTCAGATTTTTTCATCATATGTATTTCTTGAGAAATTAACTGAGTCATTTGAACGGTTGTCTGACGAACTTGAGAATACTGAAAAATTTTCCAAGGCTTTTCCCAAATTTAAGCATCATTAGTGGTAAATGAAATTGAAAATAATATTGCAAATACTTTACAGCATAAGCACTTTATTTTATGAAATTGAACATGAAATTTGTATACATGCTTACAACCTCAAGTACGAAGGATTTATTTCTAGATTAATGGAAAGAGAAATTTATTCCACTTTAAACAGGGTTTTAGTGGAATAAAGAATTTGAATAGTGCAAAATTATGTGATTAGGCTGCTGCTACTCAATGAACTATCATTTGCATTGGGTAACAGTAATGTGAAGGGGCAAATAGTTTACATAGTGGTGGCAATTTATAAATGTTACACAAGTCAATCAAAATGGACGACAGTAGATATTATTAGCAAAGGAGATTGTATTCTCAGCTGTTATTGCACAGTACTTGAATTAAGTTTACTCTTAGGCTTAAGCTCAAGGTGGTAAATTCTAAATGTCCTGAGCGTATCACTGAAATTACATTCTGGTCCGGTTCAATCCCCAATCAATTTTACTATTAAAACTTATACAACAGTTAGGCAACTATACTATACTTTCGTGTAACGTGCAATTATAGAAGTTTATTGATAATTCTAATATAAAAAGGCATGATTCAGCATGCAACAACCTCTTCTATTACGTCAGTGGAACACTTTCACTTGACAAAGTGTTCTATTTTGTCGATAAATTTATCTGTCTCGTTAACTATACCACGTTATTAAGTAAAATTAAAAAAAAAGCCGAAATGTCATCAACCTTGAATTATAAAATAGATATTGAGTGAGGAACAGGAAAAGTAGATAGAAAGTTAGAGACAAACAATTAAAAACAACATATTAAGGAATGATCTCTTTATATTGTGATCGTACAGTTACATGATCTTAGCGCCAGCCGCGATGACGGCTGAGGCGGATCCGAAAAAGGCCGCGGCAAGATGTTTCGACGAAATCGGACTTGATCCGGACAGCTACAGGATTGGTCATACTAAGGCTAGTTCAACACCCTCAAAAAACTTGATTTTGCGATTTTGTTCGTACTTTGTTTCCTTTTGTTACCCATCGCAGAATATTTTCTCTTTGTTCGAGAAAACGTTTAAGAGTACACCCTTTAGCGTAACTAGGATACTATCTTGAAATGTCTATTCTAACTTCGATTACTTTACATTCATTTTTACTTCTTTTGAGTTTCATTGTAGTTTACGTAACGATTACAATGTACAACTTTATATTTATTTGTAATTTTAGCTAAATATTTACGCTTTTGACGTGTCTCATTCTGCTAAGTACGTTCCAATTATCGAATGTTGAAGGAGTGTTTTGAGAAGTATCTAATTCCCCGTTTTATAGGCTTTCAGACATACAAATATTCCATGTAATTTTTTCTGACGCCCCATTTTTTCCGCCCCATGCCCCAATATGCACGAGCACCCCTGGACGTTATAGATTGATTAGCCCTCTTAGATAGACGTTAGAATTCCGTAAATTGACACCAATTATGTTCATAAATGCACGTAGTAAACCTTAAGCGTTACCTCCACCAAATATGAAAACGTCATCGTGGTCATCAGAAAAGTACATACTCGAGGAAGCGAAAATCGATGGAGGGAGGATTTTCACGTAAAAACCAACTGTGATTCCCCTGTAAAATGTTTGGTTACCTTACGCTGATAGACTCCAAATCATTGTTTTTGCCTTGTGACCCCCTACCTTTAGGTACAAGATCCTGGCGCCACAAGCAGTCGATAAAGTGGCTTCCGACCCGAAGAAGGCCGCTGCGGCAATCTTGGAATCATCCGGTCTTGATCCCGATCAATATCGTCTTGGACATACCAAGGCACGTTTTTTCTCGCGTTACAGCAAGCTTTACAGGATATTTTATTGATTATTGAACTATGACTCGTACATTCGAGGCACTGTTGAGAGCAAATTGATTAATCGAAACATTTTAAAATAATCGTATCTAGATGAAACGGAATTGTCTTTAGCAATCAATTAACATTTGCTGTCCTGCCTGATCTATTTGTCACAACAAGGGATTACCTGAAGTTTCTTTCGTTTTACGGCACAGAATGTGTTGAAACATTGCAGTATTCGAATAATATTTCAGTTTGCTTGAAAAGATAAACACTTTATACACGTGGCTCTGCTTATTAATAGTTTATAAAATACATCGAATTCTACATCGGATTATTACAATTTTATTTAAACGAACAGGAAGAATTATTCAAACAATTTTACACTTCTTGACATGCATAGGTAATTGTTATATGTATAGTACGTGTAACATTATTTTTTTCATAAATTTATTAAATTCGCAGATAAAGTGAAAGATTAATGAATAGTTGGTTAATAAGTTGAAATCAAAGTGAAAGGGAGTTAGTTGAATGTAGTATTTAAAAGTACGATGAGAAGTGTCGGGAATCCATTGATTTCTGTAAATTAAATAATTGATATTACTCTTCTATAGAAAGGTGATCGATGAACGTGATTAAGGAAAAAGTTATAGTTCTAATAATCAATGCTGCCATGTGTAAAGGTTTCATAACGCCGTGCAAACGTGCCTAACCCCAAAAAGGAATCAATACTCATTAGACTGAGCTATATACATTTACGATTTGCCAAGTTTTATCGAAACATCGTTTGAATTTCTAAAACAGATTTCTTTCCCCATTTGGAAGCTGAATGGCGAATATGATGTCAGGGTCAGCCAATAGTTAATAAAAGTAGCTTGGCAACCGAACAATTGCATAGTATAATTCTGTTTTAGAAATTCTCGAACATCCTCAAATAGAAGGATCGAATGCCAAAAGGATCACAGACAATCCAATTATCCAATTTAATAATATAACAATGTTATCATATATGTGCAAGTGTCTAACATGCGTGATAAACTTGTCTGTTGTGCCTCCTCACCATAAAACGAACCGCCGCAGATACAAAATTCTGTGCGCCAATGCCATCAAAGAACCTTGTGAACCACAAAAGGCAACCCAACTGATCCTGGATGCAATCAATTTGGAATCAGATCAATATCGTATGGGTCTCACCAAGGTATTGGACACCTTTGGTTCAACTTTCGATTTTTCTTCACACAATATGAAAATAACGCTTTTCTTTTTCTAACGAATAATTTTTTAACTTTTTTTTCCTTTACGATTGATTTAAATATGTGCTTGCCATTATTTAATGAGCAGAAAGGTTTAATGACACTTTTTGTATCCATTACAAGGAGTATCTGTAAATTTCTGTTTATGTTATTGAGGCTCTCGCTAAGAATAGCTTATCAATCAGTGTTCTCCTTTCATTTTTTTGTCACATGTAAAAGATTCGGAAGAAGTTTTGAGGTCTGTATATTATTTCATACGAGTTTCTTGAAATTAAACAAAACCGCACAATAGCAGTATCAAAAAGATATCGATTCGTTATAAATGCTTCTTGTAGCTTAAATTTTATTTTATTCAAGGTGTTACAGGAATGATAGGAATCGATATAACGTATAGAATTTAACGTTATTATGATGCCTATTTTTGCAATGTCTGTTGAATCGTGGATAAATATTCAATACACTATCGTAAAATACACGAAAAACAATTTCTATGTGGATTGAAAACAGTATACGTGCTATTGTTCACAGCATATAATTTATACACAGGGTGAGGCGGTATCGACGATATAAATGTATACGAGATGTATCCTCGTGTAAAACATAAAATGAAGTTTCATCATCGAGGCTTTCTAAAAGTTTTCTAGAAAATGAAGTTGCAGGCACTATTAAATTCGTAATCGTCGATTTCCTTTTTACCGGTTCTACTTATTATAATCACCAATGTCAATTGAATGTGAGTGTATCAATTCCCATAAAAATAATTAATTATGTAAACTATTTCAACTTCTTGCATGAGTAATTAGCTTACATGAATTTGCACTGTCGATACTGCTGGACACTGTACAAAACGCTTGAAGCGTTTTCAAATTATTTCGAATGTCCAATTGAAATGAGTATATAGATATTTGTATCCAGAATCACACAACTTTATTCGTGTTATAAGATTTCCTTTCCGATATCACTTTATATAAATGAAACATTTACCACCACACGCCTTCTTCTGTTCTTTAATATTATGTATGATTTATTCTGTTACCGTAATCAAATTATTGTATAATTACTAATTACAAAAATCAATTTTAACGTCCAGCTACGTTTATATATTAATAGGCATCACACGTACAAGGTAATTTCTATTTTGCTTTTTAATGTGTCGGATGAATGGACTGTATCTTCCTACTTTAATACGTGAACAACAGCGTGGGATGATTTACTTAAATCTTGCATGATAACGCTTCATTTATTTAAAGTTGACCTAGAGAAACATTTTTACTTTGATTATTCTCCTTTGATTCCCAAACAGCTGAATTTAATTTAAATTAACCTTTTCTCGACAATTTCTGCAGTTGTTAATATTATGCAACATTTTAAAAAATTTTCCTTTCTTATTGATATACACAATTCTAGTGCAGTTATTCTCGTAGCTCCGATACCTGAATCCTGCGCGATTTTTTTTTATAGATAGCACAATGACAGTAGCAATAATGTCATTTCATGTATGTGTGTGCGTGCGCGCGCGCTTGCACGTGTTTGTGTGTATATGAATGTCAATTATTGGACATTGTAAGACTGAAAATTACTCCCACTAATTCAGTTCTTCTGTAGCACAAATTTTCTGCTCAAATTTCCCGTGTAGAATAATCAAAGTACCGAAGGGCAATGTTCCAAGAAAAATCATTAATTGATGTGTTTTTCTCGCTTCTTGAATCTAAAATAAACAGGTGTTTTTCCGTGCCGGAGTGTTGGGTCAAATGGAAGAGTTCCGTGATGAACGACTCAGCAAAATCGTTTCCTGGATGCAGGCCTACGTTAGAGGTTATTTGTCTCGAAAGGATTACAAGCAACTCCAAGAACAACGTCTCGCGTTGGTAGTCGTCCAGCGAAACCTGAGGAAATACTTGCAACTGCGAACGTGGCCATGGTGGAAACTCTGGCAGAAGGTCAAACCTCTCCTCAACGTCACTCGAATCGAGGACGAGCTTGCTGTAAGTGCCGTTAATAAACAACATTTTACATCTTACAGTGATTCTGTAGCTTCAAAGTATCTCAAAGTTACACGGATGCTGAACATATATTCGTACACTTTTAAACATTACGTAAATTACTCTGACATTATAGCAATATTAATATAGCAATAATTTGCAGTAATATTAACAAAGTGCTCTCCGTGTCATTTCCCACACCTCGTGTGGGCATACAAGTGCAATTTGTTTAAATTCTAAAACATCTAGTAAAATTACAACTGATTCCTTCGGATTTTTCGCATTTAATAAAATATAGTTTTGCCAACAGGAATAAAGCAAAAACTTCACACAATGTCAGTTCTTTACAATTTTTCGTTGATATTATATTCTATAATATTAACATTCGTCCCTATTCGCTCTTTCTTCGGCAAAACGTTCATGGATTTCAGTTTAACGTATATAAGAATGATTTTTTTTATTTATTCTTTATAGACGCATCAACCTCTAACATCACGGTTATTAATTATAGAAACTTATAAAAAGGCTTTATACATGCAAAATTTATATTTAATTGGTCATTAATACAGGGTGGTCCATCAGAAGCCGAACACCTAAATATGTACTTGGATATAAAGTTACGAAAGCATATTTCGGTACAGAGTTGCACCGTTTCATAGGCGTAATGGGCTGAAACGAAATTCATTTTTTTCCGAAGTTCTTTTTAAAGATATCAGTCATCGTGTTCTTTCTTTAATAGGTTCACATATTCCTGTTGCCAGAGTATTATAGCCCATGAACGAACAAATTGAACGATGTTAGAATGTTAACCTTTAACCAACATCCACCCAAGAAAATCGCCTTTTTTGGTAGGAAACACAGCAATCTCAGACTCACACGTTACAATCGAAGTGATGAATTTTATAACATCTGTGAATCATAAAACCGATGAGTGATGGCTTTTAGTAACAACACAGTGCCTGGGACGTTCTTACAATCGCGAATTGTCATTACATGTGTAAACATACCGTCTGTTTATCAACTTGCCAATCCAAATGTATCATTATCCCAATCTTATTGTCATTCGATTCTAGTCTCAGTTTAGTGATAAACGTTTCACAATACGGTATTCGAACGAAGTGCGAATCGATATGATTTTCATTTATGGAGAAAGTAGACAGTGCCTTTGGCCCGTTACAAAGTCGGCAAAGCATTCGCGGTCCGTACTACAGGCGAAGAATAAATTACCTACATTGTACAGAAGCGTTCACATCGTCGGACGTGGGACAAAACGGCTTCCCCCACTATGACTTACCAACGTCAACCACGTTACTTTCACCGTGCTTCACCCAACATACTCTACACTTTCTTTCTTTTTTTCTTTTTTTTAACGGGAAGAAAACTTCCGAAAGGTGTACCGCTAGGGCGGAGACGGCCTATGCAGGATTTTTACCCACTAAAAACACCCCGGTGACCCTCTCTGGCTCCGCCCATGCCCCCCCCCCCCTGGGACGGCTGTCTTGCCGTCACGCCTCCTGCTACTTAGTGGTGACCCCTCGACGCTGTCTCTGTGTGAGCCGATCGCGACAGGGATGGTACCCCCAGTACCACCCCTCGGCCCTGGCTGCCCCGCGGGCGGCGAAAGTATACTCTACCCCTGTCCGTGTGTGCTACTCGTTCGGGAATTTCCGCCGACAATCTCTACATCACTCGGCAACGTATACAATGAGGAGAGCTCGTTCGAATCTCACTGCGCCGACAATCTATGTTTTCGACGCGACACTCGGCAACCTGTGCGCGTGAACTGGAGTCAGAAGACTTCGTTCGTATTCCAGTGCGACGGTGTTATTTTTTATTTTTAATTATTTTGTAATTTCGCTTTGTAAGCTCTCAGTAAAGTAATAACTTACAAAATATTAATTTGTGAGGCATTTAAACGAAAAGGAGATGAATTTATTCCTATTCAATATTTAAATTTATTATAATATACATACATATTACGTTATACATACAAAAATTATTCTTCCAATGAAATATTACCGTTATTTTAACTATTGGAGTACATAAAGATAAAAACATTCGTACAAAAATTTATTAGAAAACAATGTTCGTTATAAATCTATCTTCAATCTTTTAAAATTTGCTGGCTTTCCTTGTAATCTTTTAATTAAATGAAATGTTAAAAAATATTAATTTGAGAAGCATTTTTAAAACTCAATTTTTTTGTTAATGATATACAATTTCGCGTGTTCGACAACTGTTGCAGCTGGTCTACGTGTATACAATGTTGAATGGTCTTTGGCTTTTCTATATCTAAAAAGAAATAAACACATAGTTTAAATCGTAATTGTACTAATACAAGATAAAATATTTAGGTTGCTATAAAGGAATCCTTTTTTTTTATATTTGAGGCTTTCATGGCCCGGCATTATATAATTCTCACTGTTGAGGCTTTCCGGTGTGAGCTGTGTCCTTGTGGAATTGTTTTCCCAACGTTTTGCAAGCATTACAGCTAGCTCCATCAGGGGATCAAAAGTATCAGTGTGTTTTCCGATCCCTTGATGAAGCTAGCTGCTATGCTTGCGAAACGTTGGGATAACAATTCCACATTGACACGGTTTATCTTTTTTTCGTTTTATTTTTCTCTAATTTCGCTTCCTAAATTTTGAGTAGAAGTTTCGCCGTAACGAAAATAGTTACAGTTTTTCCATGTATACACGATGCTGAATAGTCTTTTGATTATGTATGTCTAAAAAGAAAGAAACATGTAAATATAATTATAATTACAATTGTAATAGTACAAGATAAAATATAAATATTATTGTAAACCTATATCTTTTGATGATGAAAACAAATCCGTCGCTGGAAATGTAAGATATTACGCGGAAAAATTACACGCGGGGGAAGTACGGCGAAAGAAGTACACGCAGAAGCGACTATAATACATTTGTAATTTCATGATAACTTCAAAATTGACGCGCTAATATCGTGGAAATACTGTTTGTGTTACAGTTATTACTGTTAAGGCTTTCGGGTATAAGCCGTGCCCTGCTGTAATTATTTTTCCAACGTTTCGAAAACATTGCATCTAGCTTCATCAAGGGTGCTCTCTTAATATACTGGAGCTTGCTCTTGTTCCGGTTCATTGTTTACCAATCAAGAAACATTTTTAATTGGTCAGCTGAATAATTAAAATTGTCTCTTGGTTGGTAAACAATGAACCGGAACATGAGGAAGCTCCAGTATATTAATAGAGCACCACAAGGCACACACCAGTCTCAGTGTGTAATTCAACCCCTTGATGAAGCTAGATGCAATGTTTGCGAAACGTTGGGAAAATAATTACACCAGGACACGGCTTATACCCGAAAGCCTCAACAGTAATAACTGTAACACAAACAGTATTTCCACGATGTTGGCGCGTCAATTTTGAAGTTATCATATAATTACAATTGCATTATAGTCGCTTGTACGTGTAGTTTTTTCGCGTGTACTTTCGCCGCGTGTATTTCTTCGCCGTACTTCCGCCACGTGTACTTCCACCGTGTGTAATTTTTCCGCGTAATTCCTTACATTTCCAGCAACGGATTCGTGTTTATCAACAAAAGATATAAGTTTACAATAATATTCATATTTTATCTTGTACTATTACAATTGTGATTATAATTATATTTACATGTTTCTTTCTGTTTAAACATACATTATCAAAAGACTATTCAGCATCGTGTATACATGGAAAAACTGTAACTATTTTCGTTACGGCGAAACTTCTACTCAAAATTTAGAAAGCGAAATTAGAGAACATTTAACAAAAAAAAAAGATCCGTTTATAGCAACCTAAATATTTTATCTTATATTACTACAATTACGATTTAAACTATGTGATTACTTCTTTTTAGATATCGAAAAGCAAAAGACCATTCAACATTGTATATACGTAGACCAACTGCAACAGTTGTCGGACACGCGAAATTGTATATGATTAACAAAAAAATCGAATTTTAAAAATGCTTAGCAAATTAATATTTTTTAACATTTCATTTAACTAAGAGATTACAAGTAAAGCCGACAAATTTTAAAAGACTGAAGATAGATTTACAACATAACATTTTAATCTAACAGATTCCTGTACGAATGTTTTTATATTTATGTACTGCAATAATTAAAATAACGGTAATATCTGATTGGAAAAATAATTTTTGTATATATAACGTAATATGTATGTATATCATAATAAATTTAAATATTGAATAGGAATAAATTTACCTTTTTTTTTTAAATGCCTCACAAATTAATATTTTGTAAGTTTTTATTTTACTGAGGGGTTACAAAGCGAAATTACAAAATAATTAAAAATAAAAAATAAAATTGTCGCACTGGGATTAGAACGAGATCTTTTGACTCCAAATTCACGCGCCTAGGTTGCCAAGCGTCGCGTCGAAAACATGGATTGTCGACTCAGTGGGAATCGTATGGGCTCTCCTCATTGTTTATGTTGCCGAGTGATGTAGAGATTGTCGGCGGAAAGTCCCGAACGGGCAGCGCACACGGACAGGGGTAGAGTATGCTTAAGTGCAGTACGGTGGATGTAAAGTGAGAGACGATGGTAGGTCATAGTGGGGGAAGCCGTTTTGTTCTATGTACAATGTACATCCCACGATACTGGCAGCACACTGATTCACTATTCACAGTTCAGCGGATGGTACGCTCGCGGAGCAGCCACCAGCCACACGCGTGGTCCTTTCGCATCAGTGCCACATAATTCTATGGAAACAAATGTAGCAGTTAGTCGAGCGGATTCCGTCGAAGATTAAACAGTCATATACCATGGGTGTAGATACGGAAATAGTTATAAACAATTTCTTCATTTTCACGTAAATCACTATATGATGACACAAAAACGCCTTTTAAACTCCTTTGAGCAATAGGAGAATGTACCCCGTATCGCCTATTCACTCGAATTTCTTTTTTCTTCCTTTTGTGTCAATAATAATACACAGCAACAATTTTAGTCATTAATTTGG